GATGTAGTTGTGATAAATTGTGTTTAGATAAATTTTTTTCGGTTGTAGTTGTGATAGATTTAGTGGGTAGAAATTTTTTTTTAATTGTTGTGCTAGTCTGGAAGGACAGCTGTTCTATTTTGTAATATTTGATGAGCTTTTGTTTCGTATTGAATATGAAATAGCGTAATGAAGAGTCTTCAAAGTATTTTCAATATATTTTTCCTCTTCGTGTAAATACTCTAACGCATGTGCAGACGTGGCAACAAAAGCAAAGCTGTGTCCGATGAAATCCTAACGAATGAAACGCGAAGGAATCGGAAACTAACTCCAAAATAGGGAAACAAGGATAGAAATTTATGACGAACGAATGAGAACCAGACAGAACTTGTTGGAACTGTTTAAAATAATTACTGCTTATATATATATATATATATATATATATATATATATATATATATATATATATATATATAGAGAGAGAGAGAGAGAGAGAGAGAGAGAGAATTTATATATCGAGCACTAGTAAAAATATACAAAAAAGAAGTTGAATATGCAACTGCAGTAACTAGTTACAGTTCTATGATTTTCAAAATTTAAATTGAGATAGCGAGACGTGTGGCTATGCCATGATGTGTCTCGCATCTAACAGGAGTTGGAGATTTCTTTGTGTTTTATGCCAAAAAAAACAAAAACAAAAAAAGAACAAAACAAAAAAGCTCTGGTTGATATCTGTTTTAAATTCAATCTTACTGGTTGGTTATGATCACGTGATCGTGCATAATATTTTTCGTTGAGCGTAAAATTGATGATCATAAAATTTTGTTGTAAAAAATCGTGAGTTTTATAGTTCAGTGAGCGTGGCCAATAGAAACAAAATGTTCAGTATTTCATGGCAACAAAGAGTTTAACAGATAAAGTATCCGGAATTCTGATTATTAGACCTTAGTGGCAATACCAAAATATTAAATGTACAAGAATTAAATTTACGCCTGTAAAAAATCTTAGAACTCTGAAACCGTTAAAGTCTCTCTCTCTCTCTCTCTCTCTATATATATATATATATATATATATATATATATATATATATATATATATAGGGTTTAGATATATATATATATATATATATATATATATATATATATATGTATGTATGTATGTGTGCAGGGTTTGAATAAGTAGCTCTGAATAGAATTTGCCCAAAATAGCCTTCTGGCATAAAAGTGCTCCACAAGAAATAGCAGAGCTTTTGAATATTAATTCAAAAACTAGGACTGCAATGACTGGTCACTACAATTAGTTTCATATGTTTGCACACAATCATCAGGTAGCTAATGACTTATAAAAGTAACGTTTTTGAATTTATATATATATATATATATATATATATATATATATATGTATATATATATATATATATATTATATATATATATATGTATATATATATATATATATATATATATATATATATATATATATATATATATATATTTTCTGAAAGTTTTCACCGTTTATTTTTTTTATTAAATTCTTTTACAAGATAGTAGGCCGGATTACTTAATGTTTTAATGTAAAGCTGCTTGTGCTGTGTATATAGTTGTATATACTTTGTCTTTAATTTCGAAACAGATGTATGCATGAACGGAAAGGAACGCCAAAACCTATAAAGTCGTGTGGATGTAGATTATATTTACTTGCAAAGCAGTTCCACCAGTTATCCTCAGCAATTTCGAACGAATGTACCTCCATTTTTTTTTTAATAGATTCAGAAATGTTTAAGACCCTGCCGCGTTGTGTATGCATATGGAGGGTAACAGTGGCTCGGAAGGAGAAACCACAGTGCCAGGTTCGAGTTTCGATCGAGGTTGCTATGTTCACTTTCACATAAAAATCCTAGAAATATTTTAAATTCATCTCTGCCCACTATGGCTTAAATAGTACGGTAGAATGGAATCTCAAGCTGTGGTATGCAACTAGTATAAGTACAAGAAAAGTCTGAATTCAAAGACGTGTATGACTGCCTACTTGAATTGTAACTAAGGTACGCTCAGCATAGTTGCAGTATATTGATTAATGTTTTTTTACGATTTATCAACCTTTTGCAGATTGCAATGTTTTTAGATTGTAAGAATATTTGGAGATATTGATGATTTACTGATAGGACGGAAAGTGTGACTCTGAAATCCAAAGATGTTTTGGGATGGCCGAAGATGCATTCCAAAAGCTAAGCAGAGTATTAAGAGACAGAAAAATTTCGTTAGAAACAAAGAAAAGACTACTGAACTGTTACGTGATATATATATCTTCCTGTATGGCAGTGAATGTTGAGCAATCTCCTCAATAATGAAGAAGAGACTTAAAGCAACATAAATGTGTTTTTACAGAAAGATGTTGAGGATACCGTGAACATGTGAGCAACGATGAGGTTTTAGAGAAAATGGAAACAAAAAGGAAACTCAGATTAACATGAGATAGAGGCAGTTGAAATTTCTGGAGCACATAATGAGGAAGGAGGGCATGGAAAATATGGTACTCTCAGGTCAAATTGAGTGAAAGCGGCGCGTAATATACTGGATGAGTTTGAGGAAATAAATGGTTAAACAGGGTTTGAGAAATATAACAAAAAGATAAAACCAATTCAGTGCTACATGTAACAGGAAGATGTGGAGAGCCATGAGTGCCTTAGTACTGAAAGAAAAAAAGAAGAAGATACAAGTCCTACAAATTAATCCATAGAGAGAGCAGAGATGGATTCATACCATTCACAAAGGTATTTCCGCGTAAGGGAATATAACGAACCCTACTGGAATTGGAACTCCGCTCTCCAATTTCAAATTGCGAGCCGTTATCCATTGCACCATCCGCACATCCAAATATGCATCACTGCCAAGCTGTCATCCATCTGCGTACTAACCGTTGCTTAACTTCGCTGATCACCGGTGCTTCAACGTGATATTGTCGTAAGAGAAATTGCAGTTATGTTGAAGAAACACAGATGCGTCTAAGGAGACGGCGATAGTTGGAAATCACTTGCCATGCTGAAGATGAAAATCAAACTGATTTGCATTTTACCTTCAAGTCGAAACAGCACTGATGCCGCATTCTTAGCTGTCATTGTGATACATCCTTGCAAGCTTTTACTCGAGTCAAAAATTGTCGCATAAAATGAGAAATCTTTTTTTTTCTCTTTATACTCATTTTCGTCTGGTTTTGTCTGTAGAAATGGAAAAAGAAGAGTTTTCAAAATTTTAAGAGGATTTTGGCATTTTACGAAATTATTTTCCATTAGATAATGTTGGAAATGGTCTTTCAGAAGTCTGGCCGTTGATGGATCTGAAGACTTTCAGCAAATCAGTGTCGTCCTATTTTTTTGAGAATATTAAAAGCGGTATTTTAAAGGAGGTATGGCGGAAGTTTTTTTTTTTTTTTTTTCGAAGTGTAATCATTGCGCGAATGTTTGGCGAAAATATTGAATCAAAATTTCGAACGCATATAGCAAATATCTGCGTCGAGTTGTGTCTTAACTGACGAACTTTGTAACGATCAATCAGACACTGAATGGCGAGGTGAACGAAATCTGCGTATCTCTATCTGGTTTAATTTTATCTATTTCGATATTTATTTCCCGACATCCACTTAGAAGAATATTGATTGACTCTAATCTACCATCACTTTTTTTTATTCCAGTCTGTTCATATCTGTTTCAGTCTGTTTATATCTATTGATCTATTTCAAAATGTTCATATTTTTGTTACCTTCTCTCCAACTCCACACACACATATAGATATATGTGTCTGTCTATCTATTTATCTAGCTAGATAGCTAGCTCAGTCTGTTCAGATATGTCTGTCTGTCTATCTATCTATCTATCTATCTTGCTAGCTAGCTAGCTGTCTATATCTCTGTCTGTCTCTCTCATTCTGAATCTATCTAAATCTATTCAGATCTATCTAATGATACCTGTCGTTCCCTTTCATCCCCGTCATATCACTGTCTTTTTCATTTCTCTAACGCATATCGTCTTTGTTTCTATATATATATATATATATATATATATATATATATATATATATATGTGTGTGTGTGTGTGTGTGTGTGTATATATGTGTGTTAATTTTTATTTATTAATCCAACAGAGTTTTGTTATTTAAACGTTAGTTTTAGTAGATACTCGTAATTGGGCAGACACTCGGATAGATAGATAGATAGATAGATAGATAGATAGATAGATAGATAGATAGGATTTCACGAATATTCCGACCGGTAGACGAAAATGAATAAATATACTGTTTAATAAATAAACGAAACGTCTACCAAAAAATAACGTTTAAATGCTCATATATATATATATATATATATATATATATATATATATATATATATATATATATATATATATATATATATATATATATATATATATATAAATGAATGGACGTATACTTCCCTCTATTTTAATATTTAACAGCTCGGCACTGCCGATATTTAATATCGTGTGCTTTTTTATATAAACGTTTTCTGACCAAGTTTAGATTTGACCCGACAAACGTATTTTATTGTTATATATATATATATATATATATATATATATATATATATATATATATATATATATATATATAAATGACAATAGGAAAATTGTAGTTATTGCTGACGCGTTTCGTCTAATGTGGACTTTCTCAAAACATTGGACGAAACGTGTCGCAATAAGTACAGTTTTCCTATTGTCATTTATATTTATAAATATTGTTTTTTCTACAGGTTAACTCTGAGAAATTTTCATCTATATATCTATATATATCTATATATATATATATATATATATATATATGATGTAATATATCTTTCTGCTGATATATATCTAATTTTCTCTTTATATTTGTCTCTCTCTTTTATATCTATCTTTCTGCCTGTCTGTGTTGATCATTATTTTCTTCTCTCTGTTGATATCTATCTCTCTGTCTTTCTTCGTTTTCCATCTGAATTTTAATATTCTCTCTTTCTCTTTCTTTCTAACAGTATCGTGCCGTTAGTCATATCATTCTTTCTCTCCTTTTATTGCATCTCTCTCTCTCTCTCTTTCTTTCTTTCTTTCTTTCTTTCTTGCTGCTTTTTCTTTCTCTCATCGATCGATCTCTGCTAGTCAAAGGTTATGATCAATTATCATTATCTATATAATAACCCTATTGTTTTCAGTATTATTTGCATTAATTCCGGGCTACTGACAATCGCTTCCTGATTCCCAATGCATTTCTATACTAAATTCATTACCAATGCATTTGCATTGTACATATTATAGTTCTATTATTTCATCAATGCTGATATGCTACCCCTGAGTCCTTATATTACTTCTGATGTATATAAATAAATATGACAAAGGAGAAAGCAAATCTTTTATCTCAAAGATTATTTTCCTTCTTAAAAGCTCTTGCACAGTTAGCTGAACAATTTTTCCTTTTCTCTTTATCTAGCTCTACATCAGGTACTCTATCATGCATAGATTTCAACAAGAACAACCAATTTAAGACCAAAAATCATAGCTGTGAAAAAAAGTAACTAGATTGATTTGGTTTGGTTTGGTTTCTTTTACAGCATATCAACCTCCATGGGTTATTTAATGCCGACAACTTATTTTTCTGGTAATATTTTTGTTTTGTCAAAAATCTATTTCTGTTAATATTTTTTCTCAAAAATGTATAGCTGGTAATATTTTTTTATCAAAAATTTATTTCTGATAATAATTTTTTACAAAGTATTTCTGGTATTAAAACCTATTTTAATACTTTTATAATGCCTTTTATCTCACTTTCTGGGTTAACTATTTGCCCATAGCTGGGACCCTAACAGGTGCTACCACTCCGGATTAGGGTGGACCTACGAACACGAGCAATTAAGAGGAGGTTCCACGATCCTCAAAGTCTCCCAATCACAGGCCTTGCTGTTGGACGTAGTTTATCGTCATACCCAGGACGCGGATGTAGTATATCGTCATACCCAGGACGCGGATGTAGTTTATCGTCATACCCAGGACGCGGATGTAGTTTGAAGTTATTTTTTAGGATAAGGTAAAAAGATACAGCACTTTGACAAAGCCAGTTTTTTGATGGAAACCTAAGCTGGAAGATCGTAGGCGATCATTGATTTTCTACAGACATCTGTTTATTATCCTTGAATTGCCACGGGCATTTCATGAAGTCCTTTCATGTTAAGGTCTCCATAGATTTTTTTAATTGCCCCCAAATAGAGCATCTATTAAGCTAGTTTTCTTATAAATGCAATCTCCCTCTTGGACATACGTGGCCATGATTATATAGAAGAAATTAACAAAATAATACCAAAGAGGAAAGTTCATCAGAGCAATTACCATGAAAGTATTTATAGAAATGACACAGGACAGCTACGTTACAGAGGTTGGAAGTGACTGAAGCCGAGATCCTAGGTCAAGGCCAATAATATTGCGAATTCTTCTTTGTAGTTTACCAAAATTTTCTAAATGCATAGCAGAAGCCTCAGACCATGTGTGACCACCGATTACTTTTCTTTATTAACTGTGAATCAACATGACAGTTTCTTGTCGTCTGCTTGACTTCAAACATCATGAAAAGAAGATCTCATGAGATTAACAAAGAAAGAATGGGCCAATCGACTGTAGAATTATTGGTCATGGCTAAATGAAATTGGTAGAAATGCCCAACAAACAGAACTGACAAAGATTGCAATAAACAATTACAAAAGAAAAAATAATAGTAAGCAAACAATATATGCAAGACAAAAGACAGGCAAAGCAATAATAATATTTAGGGTTCAGGGTCGGTTTACCTCCACGAAAGAGACTCCGCCCTTCGGCGTAGCCTGGTTCGGGTTCCTCCCCGCCTTCGGGCGGGGAGTTCAACCGATCAGCCGGTCAGCCGGTCGCCTGACTTCGGACTGAACGATATTCAGTCACCCTCCCACGAGGGCGTCATGTGGCACAAGGTCTTTTTAACGTGGGATCTCCGAGCCCGTGGGCTCGGCTAAAAATATGCCCTTTGAACCCGTATAAATGGCTTCAGGGTCGGTTTACCTCCCCGAAAGAGAATCCGCCCTTTGGCGTAGCCCCGTTCGGGTTCCTCCCCACCCGAAGGCAGAGAGTTCAACCGAACAGCCGGTCGCCCGACTTCTGGGTGAACTCTCTGCTTCCTCTTGAGGCGCAGTATTTATTACGTATGGAATAGTCCATTATGTTATTATGTGTAACGTCCCATAACAATATTCGACAAATAATTTGATACAATATAAAGTGAAACTACTCTTTGTGACTGTTTTGATTTCAAACATTGTGGAAAAAAGATTAATAATTAAAGAATGGCCAAACATCAAAAGGAGACGTTTCGGCCAATTTGTTTTAGAGCTTCCCTTAAGTGACATATTGGGAATGGCGCTAGTCAGGATTACTGTTGACTTCCCCATAGTTTTTCAAATTTAGAATTGTGCTCCTAAAGGGATTCCCCAACCACAGCTTGATAGTCCAAACTATTTTTTATCTATATCGTGTTTGTGGATGGTGTGGTGAGGTTAATGCAAGAAGATTGATCTCTTTGCATCTGTTATAACAAGCTTAGCTAGAATTTGATCTTTCCACACCAACAAGCGTAATATCACTCTCACAAGCAATTGATAAAATGAAAAATTACAGTCTTGGGTCCTGATTTGATTGAAAAGAAGATTTTATTACATTAATAAAAAAATTGACAAATATTATATGAAAATGTTTAGACGATTGTCAGTATTCTTTTCGTTGCTTTTGTTATTAACATAACCGTTCAGTAGATCTATTCTACAGCCTTCTTTGAGTTTACAGTCTAATGATTCTTTTTTATTTTTGAAATTTTAATAAATGCTATATCCTTTAGATACGAAGGAAATCAAGACTTTCCACAAATCCCATTTTGCCCTCTGTGAATTGCAACGACTTCTTGGAAAAGATTGTGGAATAACTTCTCATTGTAAAGTATACGTTGAATTCAAAACTGATCAGTTCTTCTATTAGAATGGCTGCTATTCAAGGCTAGGCAGACTTGTTTACCCACATATTTAGGACATACCTGTTAGGAGAGCGGTTAAATTCCTGCTTTTGACAAAGACATTATATGACCCTCTTCTTTTTGTTTTAAAGTACCAAAGAGGAAACTTCATCAGAGCAATTACCATGAAAGTATTTAGAGAGATGACAAAGGACAGCTAAGTTACAGAGGTGGGGGAAGTGACTGAAGCCGAGATCCTAGGTCAAGGCCTATAATATTGCAAATTCTACTTTGTATTTTACCAAAATTTTCTAAATGCATAGCAGAAACCTCAGACCATATTGACAGGATTATTGAAAGGATTATTGAAAGGATTAATGAAATGATTATTGAAGGGATTAAATGCATAAATCAATACAACTGACAACTGACAAGATAAATGATAAAAGTAAGGTAAAAAAAATATGATATTTTGCCAAACTAAAACCGAAAATAATTTGGACAATTAAAATTATTCTTTTTGTTGTGGTGTTCTCCTTCTAAGAGTCTATGTTAGGCTCCTCTGCCTACTATACTTTTAGGGGAGAAAAGGTTTTAAAAAAAAGTCATGTTTCCTCAGGATGTTGGCAATCGTGGCTCTTACATTTTCTTTATCATCTGTGAATTTCATGATTTTTCAGGAAATATAGGAGAGTTTTCCGCTTGAATTCTGTACAGACTTATTCCTTTCAAAGTTCTAAATTGATCGCCTAAAACTGTCCTATTATTTTATAATTATATGGAAATGTTTAGATAATTATATTTTGTCTTTTTGTTGCTTTTGTTATGACGATAACCGTTCAGCAGACATATTCTACAGTTTTTTTCGAGTTTACCATCTCATCTTTCATTTAAATTTTATTTTCCAATAAATTCTGTCTCTTAAGAACTCAGGTTCTCTCCAAATTCCATTTTGACATCCGTGTATAGCAACGACTTCTTCGAAAATATAGTGGGATGGCTTCGCATTTTAAAGGTTAACCTGAATTCAAAACTTTACTTAGTCCTACTTGATTATCTGCTATTCAAGGCTAGAGACAACAGTCTACCCTCTTTTTAAGAACACACCTGCTTTTCCTCAGGGCATTATAAGACTCCCTTCTTTTTACAAAAATATCATGTCCCCTCAGGACTTAGGCAATAATGGCTTTTTCAGTTTCTTTATTATCTGTGAGGTTTCATGATTTCTTGGGAAATATTGTGTAGCGGCTTCCCGTGGACTTCTCTACAGTTTTACATCTGACTAATCTTTTTACTAGACTGGTTGTCAGCCAAGGCTAGAGAGCACTGTCTACACTGTCCTTTCCGGAAGCATTTGTGAGAAAGTGATAAAAAAGCAAGAATTTGAACTCAACCGATTCCACTTTTCTGAAATGGGTTACGTGTTTTTAAACGTTAAATTAGTTCTGGTGCAAGGTAACAGGTTTGAGGTACCCAGTGAGGATCGAAGTCACGGATAATATTCTGCGATACAGGTTCACTAAATGTTACTCAGTAACAAGGTACTGCGGTTGATGATAAAGAAATGCCACAGAAAAGCAAACAAGACCAGACTGTGAGAAAATAATTTTCTTCCGTCATATCCACATTACCATAAAATTAACATACAATTATCTCTTTAAATGTAATTAGCTTGTGTAATTAACAAAACTGATTAATTTTAAAATCATTTTAACTGCGTGCAGCAGTAAATTGTCCGTTGCCTTAATTATTCGCCAAAACAAAGTATAAACATTATGAAGGTGTTTGCAGTTGGTGCATCTCTCGAACTAACGATTTCCACGAGACTTTCTACGATATTTACAGCTGCCATAATGCCTGCCTAAAAGATTCCTTGCGGCCGGACATAATTTTATTAACGTTTACCAACACTCGCGTCTCAAGTGATAAATAAGTTGTCAAGTGGCTTGTCAAATTAAATCAAAAACCACGACTCAGCGGACTAAATAAGACAGTTTATGACGATTCGTTTCTTCCTCAATGGTGAAGAGACGCCCTAGGACGGCCGGTGACCATTCACAAGAAAAACATTTGCATATTATCAGTAAGATATATTTCAAAGATTATTTCTTTTGCACAGAGATTATTTATAGTGTACACT